CCTTTTACTTTCTCTTCTATGAGCGTTTCAAACTTCTCTCCTCGCAGGTACAAGATAATGCTGCTGCTGCTGCTACTGCTGCTACTGCTGCTACTGCTGCTACTGCTGCTACTGCTGCTACTGCTGCTACTGCTGCTACTGCTGCTACTGCTGCTACTGCTGCTACTGCTGCTACTGCTGCTACTGCTGCTACTGCTGCTACTGCTGCTACTGCTGCTGTCTTTCTCGTTCTCGTCCTCGTCCTCGTCTTCGTCTTCTTCCTTCCCTCCTCCTCCTGCTACTCTCTTCCTTCTCTTCCTCGTCCTCGTCTTGCTCTTTCTTCTCCTCGCGCTGATAATCATGTTATCTCTTCCTCTCCCTCACATCCTTGTTTACAGCTCGCTCCCTCCCTGCAGCATCGGCTTCCTACAGCTCTGGCGCTTGTGAATGGAGCAGGAGCAGGAGGCATCGCCGCCTTCCTTACCAATGGCCTTGACATGGCGAAACTCCGGCTGCAGGTAGAAATCGAACCCTGCAGGAGCAGGAGCAGGAGCAGGAGCAGGAGCAGGAGCAGGAGCAGGAGCAGGAGCAGGAGCAGGAGCAGGAGCAGGAGCAGGAGCAGGAGCAGGAGCAGGAGCAGGAGCAGGAGCAGGAGCAGGAGCAGGAGCAGGAGCAGGAGCAGGAGCAGGAGCAGGAGCAGGAGCAGGAGCAGGAGCAGCAGGAAGAGAAGCAGGAGCAGCAGGAGCAGCGGCAGGAGCAGGAGCAGGAGCAGGAGCAGGAGCAGGAGCAGGAGCAGGAGCAGGAGCAGGAGCAGGAGCAGGAGCAGCAGCAGGAGCAGCAGCAGCACTGCTGCTTTTTTGTTTTATCCCCCACCTCCCAACCGTCTCCTTCCCCTCCCTTGTTTCTTCTTTCGTGATCCTCGACAGGTCCAGCGAAGCCGCGCTTCCTCTCCCTCTCTCTCCCTCCCCTTTGAGTACAGTGGCTTCCTCTCCGCCATCCTCGGAATAGTTCGAGTGGAGGCAAGCCAGTCGGCAGTCTCCGCGTCCTCTGACCCTGCAGCCTTTAGGGGTTCTCAGCTCTCTTCAAGGGAGCAGGAGCACGAGTCGCTTTCTTCATGCCGTCCCAGGTCCTGCTGCTGCTGCTGCTGCTGCTGCTGCTGCTGCTGCTGCTGCTGCTGCTGCTGCTGCTGCTGCTGCTGCTGCTGCTGCTGCTGCTGCTGCTGCTGCTGCTGCTGCTGCTGCTGCTGCTGCTGCTGCTGCTGCTGCTGCTGCTGCTGCTGCTGCTGCTGCTGCTGCTGCTGCTGCTGCTGCTGCTGCTGCTGCTGCTGCTGCTGCTGCTGCTGCTGCTGCTGCTGCTGCTGCTGCTGCTGCCCTTCCCTTGCTCCTCTTCCTCTCCCGTGGCCCACTTTGCTCCGTCCTCGTCCTCGTCCTCGTCCTCGTCCTCGTCCTCGTATTGCTTTCCTCCCCCCTCCTCTCCTGCAGGGAGCGAGTTTGATTTCTTCTGATCTTTCAGTTTGTCCTCCTCATCTTCTACCGCAGGCAATCTCCATCGCAACATTCGAATATTTTAAACTTCAGTACAGCAGATTCATCTGATCTGCATGCTAGAAAGTTGCTAATCCCCTCGAGGAGGAGATTCGTGGTTGACTTGCGGTTGTCTATCTTCGAGATGGCTGGTTCCCTCCCTCCTATCGATGACGAGCAAGTAGGTATGAGCGAAAGGAATCAGAAGGAAAGGAGGAGAGACGAGGTTGAGATGGCTCGGGAAAAGAAGAGGAGGGAAGAGAAGAGGAAGAGAAGAAGAAGGGAGGAGAAGACAGGAGAGGGGAGAGGAAATGAAGAGAAGATAGATATGATGGGGATGGGAGGAGGGGAGAAGAGAAGAGGGGAGGGAAAGAGAGGACGGAACGTGGCGGGAAGGGAACGGAAGGGGGAGGGGGGGCGGGACGGGAGGGACCTTGTCAAGCTCGTCTTGCTGCTTCATCATTGACTCCAACATCCTGCAACCAGCGCGTCTCTCACTGTCCAGCCTCTCCCTCCCTCCCTTACAAAAAGTCCTCTTCTCTGAGCATGTCCATCGCGCCCTCCTCGTCCAGTCCTTCCAACCTGACGGCCAACGTCAGCTCATGTCGCAGCAGGACGTGACTACTGTTCTTGAAGCTTCTCCGCCTGATCGCTCCGCCTGCCATCGCCGTCATGGTGAGGAGGAGCAAGCATGACGACACACCTGCTGCGAAGCGCCTCCTCAATCGCCCTCCTCCTCTCATACCCTTGCACGAACTTCGCAGCTTGTTCCTCACTGTGGTGAGAAGCTGTCAGAAAAGATCCTCCTGCTCCTCCTCCTCCTCCTCTTGCTCACGCGTTCTTCTTGGGGGGACAAGGAGCAAACGGAGAAGTCGGAGAGATGGCAATAGAATCGCATGATGACACGTTGAAAACTTCCTCCAGCCTGATCGTTTCCGAACATGCTCTTCCTCTTCGTCCTCCAAGTCTTTCTGCTGCTGCTGCTGCTGCTGCTGCTGCTGCTGCTGCTGCTGCTGCTGCCCCTTCTCCTCCTCCTCCTCCTCCTCCTCTTTCCACAACTCCAGCTCCTCCTTCCGCCACCCTCGCGCTCGCTCCTCCTACTGTCTGCTGTGACTGTCCCGTGTCGGCCTCATCGTGCTCCAGCCCCAGCACAGCTGGGATGGGAGGTCGTCGGATTATCATCCTGTATCCGAACCTCTTCTGTCGTAGCAGCATATCCTCCCTCCTCCTCGCTGTCTTCTCCACCACTTGAACTCTTGTGCCTTGCTGCTGCTGCTGCTGCTGCTGCTGCTGCTGCTGCTGCTGCTGCTCATACAGATGAAGTTGCTGGTTCCAATCCAATTCCTCATAATCTTCGAAATCTTTCACATCATGCTCGTCTCCATAGTTTGCCAGTCGCTCCAGTTCCTCCAAATTGTGCTGCTGCTGCTGCTGCCATCTCGAATCCTCCTCCTCCTCCTCCTCCTCCTCCTCCTCCTCTTCCTCTTTCAGTTCCTCTAGCTCCTCTAGTTCATCTACGAGCTGCCGCCGCTGCTCAGCATGTCCAATTTCTCCCCTCAAACTCTCATCAGTTGCAATCTTGTCCAGGCGGCATGGCGTGGTTTGCCACTCACTGTCCTCATACGACATCTCCTGCTCCTGCTCCTGCTGCTCCTTCCCCCCTCCCCCTACCGACCTCCTCTCCTGCTGCTCATCTTCCTTGGACAAGCTTCGCCAGGGAGCGACAACCAGCTTCCTCAAACTGACCAGCAGGACACGCTGAATCGCTCCTCCTCCCCGCTCGCTCTCTTCGAACTGCCAGTAGCATTCGGAAGGAGCGACACTGCTGTAGAGGAGCTGGTCGAAGAGGACTTTCCCGCTGACCTCCAGTCTCATCCTCCTCACCGTCACGTTCAGCTTCACGTCCTCCCTCCTCACGTCCTCCTCCACCGGCCACAGCGCGTTAATCCGCTTCCGTCCATCCTTGAACTCGACACCGTCATCCCCTTCCCCCTCCTCCTCTCGCCCGACGTTGCCATGGTCTGAAGTCGCCGCCGCCTCCTCCTTCTCCTCCTCCTTCTCCTCCTCCTTCTCCTCCCCCGAGCCGAACTTCAGCCTGATCTCCTGGGCCGCCCTTGTGCCGTTGGTAGCAAGTAAGTTGGTGCTGCGAAAGAAAGCGAAGCTAGCATCCTCCCCGCACGCTAACTGGTAGCACAGCAGCTTCACCGAGCTCTGAAGCGTCAGGGGGCGAGGAACGAGCACGTCGCTGCTATGAGCACCTAGCAAGAGCTGCCCCTTGTCGTTCCTCCCGAAGCACAGCAAGCTCCCGTCCTCCGCAAGGGCCACCGTGTGCATACTGCCGCATGCAACCTGCAAGAACCTCATGCTCCTTGCGCAGACAACCCGGGCAGGAGCCAACCGCCTCCTCCTGTCGCCCATGCCCAGCTGGCCGTGGCTGTTGCTGCCCCACGTTAGGAGGCTTCCGCCTGCAGTGATCGCTGCCGCATGTCGCCAGCCACATGCCACATCAGCAACTCTGTGCGCTAGGGGGATGAGGGTGGGCACTGTGACGGTCCTGCCTATCCTCCGAGGGTCGGAAGTATCAGCTGCCTCCTCCTCTCTCCCCGCATCCCTTCCTGCCTCCTCCTCCTTCCTTGCTCGAGCCGCTCCCGAGTATCCTAACCCAAGTTGCCCATCGTCATTAGAACCGCATGTGAACATGGAACCGTTTGCGAGGAGGAAGATTGTATGCTCCTTCCCGCAAGCTATCTTGAGGATGGAGGAGGAGGAGGAGGAGGAGGAGGAGGAGGAGGAGGAGGAGGAGGAGGAGGAGGAGGAGGAGGAGGAAGGTAGAATGACCCTGTGAGGAAATGCAACTTTGCTCTCGAGGCTACCAATGCCCAGCTGTCCTCTCCTGTTGTCTCCAAATGCAAAGATGTCTCCTCCTCTCGCCATCACCACAAACGTCTGAGCAGGTCCACACGCCACATCCTTCACGTCCTCGCCCTTTCCAGTAGACCATCGAGTGAAGGAACGAGCTCTCCTCCTCCTGTTCTGACCCCTCTCCTCCTCCTCCCCTCCTCCTCCTTGATCCCGAGCTGCCCGTGCGAGTTGTCCCCAAAGAGAAACAGCCCCCCTTCAGCGTCGACCATTGCGCTGTGACGTGAGCCGCATGACATGTGGGACCAAGCTCGATCCGACAAGCTCTTGATCAGCACAAGCCCTCTGCTCCTCTTCCTGATCCTGCTCAGCAATTTCGGATTGCCTACTGGTACGTCCTCGTCCTCGTCCTCGACGTCCTCGTCCTCGTCCTCGTCCTGCTCTGTACAAAGCTCCTTCTCCTCCTCCTCCGTCATCCCCAGCTGCCCACAGGTGTTGTCTCCCGCCCCGTACAGCAGTAGCTTACTGTTGGCGGCCACGAGCACGAGCGAATGTGCCGATCCGCAGCAGACCTTTCGGATTGTGCTGCGAGGAAAGTTGAGGGAATGCCTACAGGTGCAGGAGAATGTGGACGAGGGAGAGGAGGAGGGGAAGAAAGAGAGGGAGGGAGGGGAGGAGGAGAGGGGAGAAGAGGAGTTACGAGGAAGCGCGAGTTTCCCTCCCCTGTTTGATCCAGCACACAGCACTCCACTCTTCACCCCTTGCAGCACAGAATCCAGACTACCCGCTGCTCCTGCATTGCAAGCAAAGCATCTGCTCCTTGCATCCACTCCGTCGCCTTCATGTCCGTCTCCCTCACGTCCGTTCCTTCCTGCGGAGGAGGACGGTGCAAACTCCAGTTCCTGGTCCCCAACATCACAGGCAGCGGAAAGCTCGTCTGCCCCACCTCCACACACTAGATCCCCATCAACGCTACTGCCCTCGTCCGGTATCTTCACTGCAAGGTACGTTCCATCCGCCTCCTTCTTTCCCACCTTATCTGCAGCCTGTGTCTCCGCCTTGTTGTTGGTGTACTTGGAACCCATTCTCCTCATGGCGTTTTGATACCTTGCGGTAGCTGCCCCGGCATCGTTGTCTCCCGTGAGGAGCTGCTGCATGTACAGCTCAACGTCAGAGGTTTCGAAGGATAAGGCGTTGTTGATGCTGTGGGTCGCTGGAGGAGGAGGAGCACTTCCGCCACGTAGTGTGAGAGAAGGGAGGGAAAGGAGAAGACGGCGAGTCAGCCTCCTCTCGCTTGCTCCTTGGATGTTCGGCTGGTATGTAGATACTAGTGACGCGAGAGTGACAAGAATCATCGTTATCCCTCCCTCCATGATTCAGTTCGTTGGGCGACAGCGTCGGCAGACTGCAGGCTTCAGACCGAGGAATGAAGGGAAATTTTCAGCATCAAGGAGAAACATCGACCTTGTTCAACCATCTCATCTCAATGTCCTCAATCTATCTCGATCTTCATCTTCTGCCATCATTCATCTTCACTTCCTTGCACCTGCTCACCGAGTCTGCCCGCTGTCTCCTGCCACCATATTGATACCTTCCGAACTCATTCCCTCCCTCCTGCTCTTGGACTATGTACGACCCACCCACCCCTTGCGAGACAAAATGATTGTACCCGTACTTTGATCACTAAATTAGAGTCCAACTACCCGGTACTAAGGTGTACCCACCATAAGGACCCAACTAATAATAAGTCCGTCAAGTCCAAAGACGACCAGGGGAGGAACAGCTTTGAGAGTGAGCAGGAGAGGAAAGATGAGAAGGGAGGAGAGATGAGAGGAGGAGGAAGGGTTGAGGCGGTGGGGGGACGAGAAGGAAGGGAAGGAGGAGGAGGAAGAAGCTACTTGGCTAGAGCATGCAAGATTCCTGATTATACAGATGGACTTGAGCTTGTTCTGTTTCTAAAGTTACATGTCAATGGAATCTAGAATCTATTTCCCATGGGACAGGCGCATGCGACCGCAACGCGCTCACTGTCTGCGTCCTTCTCCTCCTGATATCACAACCTTCCATCATACTGGTAGCATCTGGTGCGGTCCGCGGATAAGAGCTTCAGTCATCGAGCCCCCCACCTGCCTCCCGTGCTGGACAGGAGCAAGCTGTTCCACACGCTGAGTGGGCCTCATGGAGCTGAGGGCAGCCAGCAGTTAGCATCGAAAGACAGCAGGGAGGATGCGAGCACCTGTGGAACAATGCGAGGAAGCAGAAGGAGGGCACAGAGAAGATGAACATGTTGCTGAAGAGGAAGATCAACCCCCGGAGAGCAGCAGCCACCCAGTCATCGTCCCCGAAGAAGGAGGAGGAGTAGGAGGCGTCGAAGGGATCGCAGTCGTCCATGTCGCGCAGGAAGTGATCCAGGGACTGGAGGATGCCGAAGATGGCGGACAAGAACATGGCGCAAGCAAGGCGGAAGAGGGAGAGCCATAGGACATTGGGACGTCTTCGTTTCCTGCCTTCGTTGTGGAGAATGAGAATCCCCAGGAACAGAACGACGGCGATGAGGAGGAAGGAGGCGAGGAACGCGAGCCATGCTGGATCTGAGGGGAAGGGGGCGGATGTCAGAGGAGCAGGTGCAGAGGAGGAGTCACCTTGGCAGGAGAAGGCGTGAGGAAACGACCCGATACAAGAGAAGAACATGACAAGGGATATCCATCCTAGAGATACCCATAGCGGCATCTTCAACACTCTCTGCGCCTCCTGCAGCTGCGCTCCTTCCTGGCTCGGGAGCCTCAGGCGGAGGACGAGGCGGAGGAAGAAGAAAGCAACGACGACGAACGCGATGAGGAGGAGGCCCAGGCTGAGGTAGCTCATGCTGGCATCTACTCGCTGCATCCTGCATAGGAAGTCGGCTTGGCTGTCGATCGCGGTTGAGTTCTGGTTGCTACCGCACTGATCCATCCATCTTGAGCCCCGCACCATCGGCCCCTGCGCCATCCACACGACATCAAACACCACGTCGCACGTCTGCATGAGATTGATAACACAGGTCAGCACGAGAAGCTGCATGTATGCTGAGCTCCTGTCAGCCCATACTCGGTTCCGCCTTACAATGGCCTGCACAGTCTTGCACATGATCGCCAAGGACAGCAGTCCGTACAGGCATCTTAACATGTATCCGTCAGATACTGAAGCTATCAAATTCTCATCACCTGAAACCTATCTCGATTGCAATGAACATCTCGTACGAGTATTAGGATGAGTTCTGACCAATCCCACAAACCTAGAACAAAGTTCTTGCAGCTCCGCCGCTTCAGGGCGTGACTTGCCGTATGATCAGGACGTATCTTCCAAGCCTCTAGTAGATGCTCCGAAAGAACTTTTCGGTAAGATGTGCGACTTGAGTGGAATGTATGGTTGGCAGTAGGGTCAACCAAACGGGAGCCAGTCTTCGGTGAATGCCCTCCTTTCCTGCTTACTGTCGTGCTTGCAACTCCAGATCAGTGTACACTGATTCCATGGTCCTAGTCAGTGTCTACTTCCCGTCCCTTGATGCTGATCGCTCCTCGTTCGCCGTCTCCCCAGCGCTCGTTCCCCATTGAACATCGGCACATGGCTGAAGCCTGAGCAAGAAACAGAAATTTGAAGGCCAATACGAAACAAATTTATGTGATGGATTTGATTAGTTCAAAATTAGGAGCTATGAATCAAATCATTCTGAAGTGAGACACAGAATCCGTTTACTCAAAGTTAAGTTAAAATCAGTACCAGGACAATCACTGGGCGGACTCAGGGCCCGCCGGGCGCGGCGGCCCGCCGCCCGGCGGCCTGCCGCGACTGAGTCGGGGCCGCGCCAGCCTGGTAGGAGGCGGACTCGAGCACCTGCCGGCCGCCGGGGGCGTGCGACTAGGCCCCGACGCCGGGACACTGACTCGATGGCTACCGTGACGGCCTCCCGGAGGCTCCCGGCGGGCCGCGGCCGGTGGCATCATCAGTGATTTTTAACTGAGTAACCGTTCACTGGCAAGTTTGACGGTGAAGAGTCTAGGCAGTACTTTGGCAAGTTGAGTAAACAAGTCTAGGCAGTCACGGGCAGGAGGCCCGGCTCTCCGAGGCTCAGTGAGGCGCCGGGCGGCCCCGGTCACCGGGCGGCACTGCACTGGGCATGACCCTGGCGGCGGTCCAACAGGCTTGGCAAGGAGAACACCGTCGTGCCAGCAAGGGAGTCGCACGGTAGTAAAGTCATTCCCCAAGGTGCAAGACGAATGCTCGAGAACGTAAGTGACTCCTTTAACAAAAAATCTGAGTCTCGAAAAGAAGAGTTATCAAATTACAAAGGATTGGCTGTCAGCTGCAGATTCATTGTTGAAGGACTTAAAGGAGTCAGATAGACACCTGGAAAATCTTTTTTGAGGTGTGAGGTGAAGGTCTGGGATTATCTGATTGTATCAATAGGAGAACCGAGGGAGCCATGTATCAACCAAGTCCGAACAACAAGTTGGTAACACTTCCAGATTGTCTCTAGAATTTTCGAGAAGTAACAAAAGTCTTCAAGGAGTCAAATTAGAAAACGATTCAGATTTCTTTCCGCAAAAAGATGTCAGCATAGACCAGTCATGGGAATTAATGTCAGCAGTTTGGTCATCAGGTCACGTTGGACCTCTTCCTCCTGTAAGGCTTGTCTCGGCCAAGGCATGAAACCTTCACCCACCCCCCCTCAAACTCACTCATGCAAATCTTACCCACCCCACCAGACCCTGGGTTTCCATGCGCCTGCCGAGCTGGAACCGTGGAGGCTTTTAACCCCTGCTTGTGACTAGTAGATGGACCCTTACACAGCAGCTCCTCTTCCTGTATGGACCCCTAGTACTGCGTTCCAACCCCCCTGCGGTACCACCCCATAGATCATGTTTACATGGGGGTACTGAAAGGGTCGCCCAGGGGTAAAGACCAACCTTGCACCCCCACCCCTACATTCCCCTTCTGTAGCCTTACAGATCCCTTGACCGGTCCAACACCCTGTAAGGCTGGTGCTGACCTTTTCCAGCTTTCTAAGATCGAAACCTTTCATTTTCGAATTTACAAAACAACTTGTAGTCAGCAACCCCTCTATAAGACCACCTCCGACTCCTCCCTCCCTGAACAATTCCCTGAATCCCCCTGCCTTCCCTTGATTCTTGCCCTGCCTCTTACAAGTCCTGCCTACCAGCCTGTCCTCACACAATCCTCTCAACCTGCTCGTAACCCCCTGATCCTTTCATTCCTGTCCTTTTCCTTTGCTTTCTTCCCAAAAATTATCTCTGAACAAGCATTGACATCAAATCTACATTTTTTCGCCCAAATTCCTTCAATTCCGTAAAAGTTGATGGCAATCCACGGAGTATTCCTGGGAAACATAGATATTGTTGTAGACATGGATGGCAAACACTCGCCTCCTACCCCCGCGGAAGAGGATCAGTCTTCGAAGGCCAAAGTAGCAGGGGTTCGCAAAATCCCCCATTCCGACACTCCTGGTAACTTGTACAAGATGAGAAGATGGTTGTCGTCTTCGCGGCATCCTACCAAGAGCGCATGTGAGGCATGCAGACAAGCGAAGACCAAGTGCCAAGAAACTCGCCCTTGCAAGCGATGCATGAGCAGAGGCATGGAGTGCAGAACTTTAAGTCCGATACTACAGCCGTCCATCTTCACCAACGTCCCCCATGATCCCCTTTTCTCTCCTCTCGCTGGACCAGTCTGGCAGCCCTCGGAGCAAGCATCCAATGAACTGCATCCTTGTACTTCTCAGCCCTCCCTTCCGTTCGAGGTTGTGAATGATCGCTGCGAGTCTCCCGCAGCGCTATGGCGAGGAAACTTTGAAAGCGCTCTCATGGACGAGGCCTTGTTGCATGTCTCCAGCCATTGACCGGAGCTCGTCGCCCGATGCGCCTCTACAACTTTTCTGTAACATTAGAACACGCAAACTTCTTCCAAACCAAAGAACCAGATATTAATAAATTATGCAGAATCTCACAGTATTTTAAAGTCTCTTCCATGCAATCCATGCACCCATCTTGGCTGATTGAGCCAGTAGATGGTGCCAGTTTCAGGGTTCGAGCCGCGGGGGAGCTTGAGCCTCCTTGTCATTCCTCTTCTGGCACTGTGAGAAGCCTTTGCTCAATCGCTTCTTGGCGATTTGGAACGATTCATCGTTTCGAAACTCCCACTCCTGCACCACGGCCGTCAGCGATGTTGCATCGGAGACGAAGCTCTTACCCGATAATAGAACATGTCGGTCTTGCCCGGATCCTTGTCCGCGGGTCCTCGCAAGCAAGGCTTCGAGCCGATCTTTCGGAAGAGCTCGTACACGCCCCAGGTAGGGTTCTTCAATGGCTGATTGTACTTGCCGTTCGCTTTCTTCCATATCCCCCCCTTGTCCTCGTCCACCATCTTCTTGACCTTCAAGTTCAGCTCGTAAGGATCGTGAACTTCCAGCTTCGACCAGCCGAGGATACAGTTCTTTGCAGGATCTTCCGACTTGATGAAAGTTGCGATCTTTTCATGCTGCGCCTCGACCAGGAGCTCGTGGAGACAGAGGAGCCGCTTTGCCGAGTTGGGATTGATCTCTCCGATGCGAACAGCATCGTCCAACCTCGACCGCAGTTCGTCGTCCACAAAGTCACTTCCGTACACAATGGCCCTTGATTGAGCAAAGATATGAATCAAGGAATCGTCCGATCTCACCACAGTTGGAGTATTGTAGAATTCCTTTGGCGATGGCTGCTCTTTTGGTGGCGATACTGAAACAGCGTCCAACTTAGCAGAGGTCGGTGCTGGGGCCGAAGCATTGTCAACAGTCAACGACCTTTTAGCTGGAGAGGTAGCGCCTTTTTCGGACCTCGAGCGTTTGTTTGTTCCACGTTCCTTCTTTACAACCCCTTCTGAGGCGAGCGATAGAAGTGCTGTGCATGCTGCTTGTAGATTTGGATCATCAGAATCCTCCGCAGAACCACCTTGAGCCTTCTTCGACAAAGATTCTTTGCTTTTACCTGCAACATACTGAGCTCGAGCAGATAAAGCTTGCTCTCCTTTGTTGGGATTTGTTAAATCACGTTTGAGTAAACTTGAAAAGGATTCCTGTCCACGTGAGATTTGCCCCAAATCTAAGCCTTTTGGGTCACTGCCCTTCAGACCAACAAGCGAAGAAGACGCTGTAAGGATCGAAGGAGGCTGAAACGGAACATGCAACATTTTGCTTGATAGATGAGGCTGTTGCCTTTCCTCTTTGAGTGCTCCTACATTGTTGAAATTGGTTCCTGGAACTGTCCCTTTCGATGCTCCGATTGAACTCTTTGCTGCATCCATTGGACCGTTCACTGGATTTTCACTCATGATGGATACCGTGCTCAAAGTATTCGACATTTTGCCTGCACCTTCAGCACGTCCCTGATTTGCACCATGCTGGGTGATAGAAATTTGGTTATCCGATGAAACTTTGTTCATATCACGGGGGCGTCCCTTAGCAATTCCATCAACTTCCAAGCGATGTCTATTCTTCACTAGGGTATCACGGCAGAAGATGTATCGTGTGGCGTACATGAAATCTTTTGGATCGGGATCATGCTCCTTGGGACCTCTACAATGCTTTTGTGGTCTGACGCCGATCTGTCGCAACAACTCGTAGATTACCCATGTCGGTTTTTTGAGGGATCTGGCACCACCTAAGCCATGCCACAACTTGTTCTCCTGAACCATCTTGCGGATGAACAAATTGAATTGAGGTTGTTTCACTTCGAGCTGCTGGAATCCTAGAATGCAATTGTTTCTTTGATCTGAATCTCGTTTTATATAGCTGATTCCACTCTCCTGCGAATTAATGCAGTTGTAGAGATCATACAATCTTGACAAAGCTGTCGACTTGATTTGCACTTCGGCATACTTCTCAGCATGAACTTTGAATTCCTCCTTCTTCCGAATTTCCTCATAATCTAGTTTTCCCTGAAAACATGAGCCTCAGCTTCTGAAAACAAGTTTGACGAAGCAAATAGTGGACATCAAAGAGGATGAATATCACAACCATACCAGAAAGTCTCTGTGAAGAAGAGCACTTGCTTTAGACTGGCAAATAAGGTCAATAAAATATAAGTATGTCAATGGGAGGATAGAATCAGAACTTACGCTGAATGGGGCCGTGGGTTTCGATGCTGGATTCATACTAGGCATAGATTGTTTTGTAGGCTGTCACATGATTCTTCAAAACACATATTAACAAATTGAACCAGAAATACCGCTTCACTAGATGTTAATGCCGATCGGTAATCAATCGTTTCCTGTGAAAAATCAAGATCCGAGAAATACTGAAGCTACGCTCAAACCTTTGCAGGGAGAAAGCAGCTTAACGCCTTCGTCTTTGCTGAATCTGACGCCTGAGATGCAGTCTGTAACGTTTCAATTCAAATTCAGCTGTCTGTCCGACTGAGTTAACAATCACACTCACGTCGACGGGATTGCATAAGTCGCTTAGTGCTACTCTTTGCGTTGTTGCGACCTTAGCTTCGAGCTACAAAGTTTCAGCTAATTCAGCAAAAACATTATACTAGTTACGCACGTCATTGTTATTGCCTTCCTTCGGTCCTATCGTGCTTTTCCCATCTGTCTTAATCGATTCCTGGTAAAATTTGAGATAAACAAAAACAAGAGAAGAAAATAATTTACCGCTTTTCGTTCTGAGGAATCGTCAGGAGAAGCATCTTTGGATGGATCTTTCGAAGAAGAATTTGAGGGGTCGGTGAATGTGGTCAATCTATCCAACAATGGTTCTTTGTGCTGTGCCTTGTGCACTTCTCCATTTGACATTGATTGGAATTCTCCGAGCTGATGTTTCTCGTTTGTGTCTTTCATCTCAAAACCTCCCCGTGGAAGAGTAGCTATCGGCATTTTCAATAACTTGTGTTTCGAAATTTCTTTTGTAAATATTTTGTGTTTGGGATCACTGAAATAAAATATGCAGAAAAATTATGTGCTTGAAACAAACTAACTGAAATAAAAAAACTTTGACAACAATTTATCCATTGCGATTGTGATTGTAGATGTAATGTTCATCAGACTTTCCGGGCATCATGTCCATTGGTCACTTCCTGGTGGAATCCAAATCAGGTTGCAAACTTTGAATTCACTTAACAGTCCACTCAATCAAGCGATCATTTCGTGCCATCACATTGATCATCTTTCTGCAAACGCCTCATTCCGTGTATAAAAAATTCCGAGCCTATAAATTTGTGCCAATACAATGTGTTGCACACTGGCAGTGTGTCATAATTCTCCGCTGACATTCCAGCCTCCAAACTGATGTGGAGTCTGAATTCGAACAAGCAGCCTGTCACAGAAAAGAAATAGTGTCAAAACAAACCACCAAGAAAACAATCAAGGATCCTCAATCATGTATTGATATGTTTAAGGGACCTGGTACAAGCGCTAGCTGCAAACAAAGCACAAACAAAGGTAACAATAACAAATTCACGCATGCAACCCCCTCAGAGGAGCAGTGGCAAGCTTGTTTGTGGGTGACTTCTTTCAAGCAAATGGTTGAAGTTCAGTTCAGATTGAATGCAGTGGATCAAATTCAAAAAATAAAAAAAATAAGAAAATGAAGAAAAGATATGTAATTACATGCTGGACAAAATCATTTTTTTCTTTGACAGCATACGAAACAAATATTCATGGCAAATTCATGGCGGAAGAGAAATGCACGACCAAGCGAGCCATATTAACAAGATAATTCACAGAGCGACATCGGGGGGATTGTATAAAAATTTATGATCTTTCTTTGATTGTGACATCATGGGAACAGTATAACACAAGGCAAAAGGCAAAAGGCAGCGTGCAGGCTGACTATTCAAGAGGCCAAGCAACGTCTTGTACAAAATGTGAGAGGGACGGGGGGCAAAAAGCCTGCATCCCGCTTCCCGCATCCTGCAGTTTTCTCAATTGTACAGAGGAAGAGAAAAGCAAAAGCGAGGAGCAAAGGCTGGGCAAAAGAAAACTGCGCGAGGGCAAGCTGTGTTTTGGCTTAGGGGAAGGGTTGCGTTCTTGGGGCTGGAGGGGGCGAGAGGGAGCGGGAAGTTGGGGTGGGAGGGATGCATTCTGAGAAGATCAGAGTAAGAGAAGGGAAGAGGGATCTGTGATATAGACCGACGCAACAAGAATATCAGCATGAGCGTCGGCGGCAAACAAGGGGAGGGGCTACCATGAAGGCCAATGATGTGTGAGAGGAGCGTCTTGAACAGAGGAGGTGGGTAGTGACCCTCACCCCCCTGATTAACACCAGATTGTATCTACAGACGTGGGTACTTCTCATACTAAAATGAAATCCACATGGCATCGTCTTCCTAGGACCACCACCCCTACCCCCTTCATCCCACCCCCTTGAGCATCCCACAAACTCCTCTCTCCAAACAGGGGAAGGTGGTACCACCCCTCATATCTACGACCCTGTCGTAGTACCCCACCAGGTTCTCACAACCATCTGGTACCTGTATCACCCTACCCCCCTCTCCAGGAAACATATCCATCCGTGTACCCTTTCAATAGTACCCCACCCTGGTCCCCACGACCACCTTGTGAGAATCTTTACACTTTGGGACAAGTTTGTAGAATGACCTTTTGTGGCCTTAGACCCCCACCCCCACTGTTCTATGACCCTCTACCACCCTCTTTATATTTGATAACCCCCCACACTTGTACTGATATTCCGACCACCCTCCTGTCTTGGTGCGAGCACCCCTATTGCTCCATCCCACCAAGATTTTGGACTCTCAACCCTCCCCTGCAAGAAAACCAGAACCCCTACCCCCTGTCGAGCATTATATTTCCATCAATCAGGGCAAACATTGTGCCTTTGGCATATTTTCCTATGACGGTAATTGAAATATACTCTTGCATTACATCAACATCTCTACTCCTCGCCCCGCCCTGAGCTTTGCTGTCCCATGGACCACCCCCTTGCCTCCCCACCCCCTCGGCGTTTCAGAGTTCTTTGCCGCCGCCGCGACCAAGTTTCCCCCAAACAACTTTGTATTCGGTAGAATGACCCACCCCACCCTCGTAAGTTGAGAGTCGTGGACTACCTACCCGTGGAATCTATTAGTTCGCAACACCTGCATCACGGGTCCCCATCCGAATGCCCCGTGATTACACCACCCCCTCTCTACTAGAACTAGTCGAAAGTACCCTATTTACAAACTACCCGACTACCCTACCCAATCCTGTGTTTGCAGGGGTGCTCTGGCGACGAACAAGGGAGCGACAAACAAGAGGGTAGGAGTACCTTTCCACCGGTGTTATTTCCCTAGAAAAAGAGGGTTCAAATCAGGTGTAGTATCTTTTAACGGGGGGTGGTGGGGTCATTTTTAGAGGAGTTCGTGAGTGTTTTTAAAAGTGGGTTTTTTTAAAAGAAAGTGTCTTAGGGGGTGGGGTTATGCAATGAGGGGGGGGTAGTGGTCAACGGGGTTATACAAATTAGTTTGTGACTGTTTTTGGCCCATTTTTTCAAATGTGTTGGTACTGCCAACTTTAGTCATCATCGCCGAGCTGGAACTGACCGGAGGCTCCGGGCCGCCCGGAGCCTGAGTGACGGTACCGCACTGGCACCGTCGCCGGGCTCACGGTGATCGGGCCCGTCGGATCTTGCCATGATCACTGAGCGGTTTGGTTCTCGCTGTCTTTTCTCTTCTCAGTCTCGCCGTTTGGCCTGTGCGACAGTGTCAGGGTCAACTTTCAGCCTCCTCGACTCTCCTGATTGTACGGTCCTCGTACTGATTTTTGACTGAACTTTGAGTAAAGAGTCACCGATCTGTCACTCAGTGTCACTGATTGAGTCTCCGCCGGGCCCCCCCGGGCCGGGGGCCCGGCCCGAGCCGCGGAGGCTCAGTGACTCAGTGAGTCGGCGATCGGACTCGCTTGACTCAGTGAACGGTCCGTCACGGTAGTCACTAGGCTCAAGACTCCCGTCAGTTAATCAGTGTGCCAGATTGATATCCCGGCGATCAATCATTCGAATGTTCTATGTTGTTCTTCTATGTGTTATTTGCAGTTCCTCGTCACTACTTGATCTATCCCGTACATTCAAAGTCACGGTCATGCTCGTGCGTTTTGCTGAGGACAATTCGCTCCTTCGAATGCTCGTATACAAAAGGTAGGTTAGGATCCACTTGATGAGGCAGTTTCGTTTATGTCTGGTTGAATTTTCCCAGAAAATCCTTCTGGTTCAGATGACCGATGAAGGACCATAGCACTCAGTCAATGGTGCAGAGAGTTCGAAGCCTTCAAACGTGACAGAAAGACATGGCCTTTGACATGTATTTGGTTTTGACCGGGCTGACACTGGTCCTGTCGATGCCTTCCACAGCCAGCTGCGACCATGGTGTACATGACTCACCGGCTCTGAACCTTTCAGACCTCTTTGATCGAATGCTTTGTGAAAGCCAGACATAGTCTCTGCAATTCATGATGTCGCTTCATGCCACTCTGCCTCCAGCAGACTGATGGCCTTGTCATTGAACATCTCCAGCATGATATTCATCGACTGTGGATCAGCCGTCCCTTCGACCTCCATGTGAGTCATCAACGAAGGATTCTTCTTGGCGATATCACTGTAAACTTTATGCTGAAGTTGCCACTTCCCTGATCGAATTGAACGCCTGACATTCTTGAACAGGTGATTGATGCACGCCGTCAAGAAAAACAACTTCTTTGAAATGGGGGAGATAACGGGATTGGATAACCATTCGTCGAGTTTAAAGCGGATCTTGTTTTCTTTCAAGTCGTTCAGTCGATGTGCTACTTGTAGCTCAATCTGCCATGGAGTGAATGATTCCTCCACCTCTTCAATTGACTGGCAATGATAGAACTTCATTGCCTTCTGCATAAATATTTGCAGTTTGCAGAACATCTCTCAAGGTCGCTCTTGGACTCTGACTTGTATCAACATCCTCATCCAACAATTTTGCATAACTGTAGAATGATCATCTGGCTACTGGCATGGAGAAAAGCAACATCTCAGGCATACTTCAACAAGTAATCGTGAATGGTGTATTGCAAAGAATTCACCTCGTCAAAGTGTGAAGTAGATCATTGTTTGATTCGGGAGAGAAGCTTTCGATTCTTCTTGTCAGTATTGTCAATGCGTGTACGAAGTCAATTCAAATGTTCATGCATGGCCGTTGTGCCTGCATGCCATTTTCCAGACGCGTATTGCTGGAAAACTTACTGAGTGTGGTGTGCAGAACACACCCAGAAAATCATTCTGATGTTCTGATGTCTGTCCATAAACATGTCCAAGGACCTCTAGTTTGTATTGCACTTCAAATAACGGCATAGCACCAAGACTCAACTGAAGATGTTGGGTCGCTGAAGCTAGAAGATTCTCGCCTTCACACTCCATAGACAAAGTTGCATGACATTGACATTGCAATTCATGAACAGCTTGAAAATCCAGGTATCATCACTCATTTTAAGTGCAAGATCCTCTGCCAATTAGTTTTGTTCTCTTGTTGTTTGAACCTGTCACCACACGTGGTGCACTGATCGGCACATCTTGCCACTTTGGAAGGCTGCTTGTTTCTTCTTGTCGTTAACATGATTGGCATGTTTCTCTCGTCCGCTTCTGTGGCTTGCCCCTGGTATGGACGTACATAGCTTTGCCCGCTAGAACTCTGATTTGAATCTTCCTGTGATGCCCTGCCATGGCATGCAGCACCCCTCAATACCCCGCCATAGCGCCTCGGACACAAGGCATGGACGCATGATGGGTGCGATCTGGGGCAGGATCGTGGGGTGCGACAGGGGGGTCAGCAGGGGGGTGCGATGGGGAGGGGGTGTGAGTGGGGAGGAGGGGCCCGTCGTGGTAGTCGTGGCAATGCTAGGTCTGCTTGGAGGCGAGGGAGGGACGAGGAGGACGTTGGAGAAGATCGGGAACGCGACTCTACAAGAGGTAAGAAAGACGCGTGCGAGGAGAGGAGGGGATGAGGAGGAGGAGGAGGAGAAGAGGGGGAAGGGGTAGGAAGGGGAGGAATGATGTCACGACAACTTTTGTATTGCAACACATCCTGGAAAAGTCAGTGGGATCGGTAACTTTCCGTTGAGTACAAAGGAGATTGTTGGTGGGAGGATAAGAAAGAGAAACTCTGGGTGTCTGGAAATAGTTAGAGGAGAAGAGAGGTCAGAACAGGAGACGCGTGTATACACGAGAATGTCGTTCAAAAAGAAGTTCACGGCAACATCTGGCAAGAAGGAAATCGCAACCACTCAGAGAAAATTGAACGAATCGAATAGAGGGATTGATGTCAAGGAATGATAAGCTAGGATTCTTGTATGGAAGAAGCCCGTAGCCGCTCAATCGCTGTTTCAAAGCTGTTTCCTTATTCCAACTTTCCTCATTTCGCAGGATCGGAAAGCTGCGCTGGTGGAGCTGAAGGTAAGAGGAGGAGGGAAGTCGGCGTGAGTATGACCGCGTTGCTGCAGGAGAGGGCGGAGAAGGATCCCATAGGAGTTGCCTCAATGTCCATGGGCCTTCTCACTTCGCTTATCCCCAAGTGAGGAGGAAGAGGAGAGCGGCCCAAGGAGGAAGGGGAAGAGCGGGGGGGAGGGAGAGGATAGGGGAGAAATCTTTCGGGGGAGGGAAGAGAGATGGAGAGGTTGTCTTGTTGCAGCGGGGAGGTTTATGTTGATCTTGCTCACTGTCATGTGCAGGGTCCGCGATGACGTGGACGAGGTCCGAGCAATCCTGGATACCATGCTCGCATGCCTGAGCCCTGAGGCCTCGGTGCATGGGGAGGAGAAATGCAAGGAGTCGCTGAGCACCAACTCGAAGCTGTACCCTCAGGATGTGATTTCCCAGCTGCTGGAGCTGCTGGAGGAGCGAGACTGGAACGCAAGGTTCTCTATCCTTAGGATTCTCCATGTGCTGCAGGAGGTTCACCCAGCAGTGGTGCAGCAGGGCACTCTGTCGAGCCCGCAGGGACTTGCGAGGCTCATGGACGTGCTTTCCGATGAGCGCGAGATTGTCCGCAACGAAGCCCTCCTCGTACTGGTCGCGCTGACTGAGGGCAGCCAGGAGCTGACTAAGATCATGGCGTTCGAAGGAGCCTTTGACGTGCTGTTCCGGGTTGTGAAGGAGGAGGACTTCGGCTCTGTGATCGCGGCCGACAGCATCGAGATCGTCAACAACTTGCTGCATGCCAACCCCTCCAACGCCAACTTCTTCAAGGAGATGTCATGCGTTGCTGAGCACGTCGTGCCCCTGTTGAGGAAGGGGATCGAGTTTGGGAGCACAGGCAGGACAAGCAACACAAGATGCCTGTTTGATCAGATGCTCGACGTCCTGGGGAACCTCCTCACCGCAACCTCTGACCTTCAGAGCATGCAGACGCACCTGGGCAAGAGCGGAGTCCTGGGCATCGTAGTGGAGGGTGCGCTACATCCCTCCATGGGGTACGAGAGCAGAGGCAAGGCGCTTCGTCTCACGTCCCTCCTGGTGTGGAAGCACTCCCCCAACCGGCTTCTGCTTTCCCAGCTCCTCTGCCCCGGCAAGAGCGGGAGCGTGCTCAGTGCTCTGCTCAAGCTCTGTCTTGAGCTGCACCCGGAGGAAGGCGACAAGTCTGTGCATCTGCTCAATGCGTCGGCTGTGCAGGTAAGAGAGGAGGACGAGGACGAGGAGGACGACGAGGACGACGAGGACGAGGACGAGGATGAGGAGGAGGAGAAGCAGGATGAGGGCAGAAGCATCAGGAGGAGCAGGGGGAGCAAGAGGAGCAGGAAGACTGCAGGGGAGCAGGGTGTTTGGGGAGCAGGGGGCAGAGACAGGCAGAACCGTGGAGACAAGGAGAGGAGGACTGAGTAGAGCTCCAGGTTTTCAAGTGCTACCTCAGCGGCAACGTAGACGGGCAACAGCATTTTGCTGCGTCCCTCATGCCTCAGCCTCCCATGGACGACCAGGAGCCGCAGGTAGAGGAGGAGACGTCCTTCCTGTGATCGAGTGACCCTCAACGTGGTAGGAGGAGCAGCAGCTGGGGCGGGTGGTGATGGCAGCTCTGCTCGGCTCATCTCCGGAGGGAGGAGGAGGGGGAGACGTCAGAACGACGAGGGTCTGGGGAGCAGCGCATGTGCTCATGTCAGTCCTGCTTGGAAACAGCGTCTGCCAGGAGATTGCGGCTGCTACTCCGCTGGAGCTGCCGATGAGCTCGGCTCCTCCTGACTACTTCCTGCAGTCCCTCCTTCAGGAAAGTTGACGTCCTAGCATGCTCTCGTCCTTATCGCGTGCTCCTCCTCCTCCTCCTCCTCCTCCTCCTCCTCCTTCTCCTTCTCCTCTTCTTCTTCTCCGTCTCCACCTTCTCCTTCTGCTTCTCCTACTGCTCCTTCTCCTCCTCCTCCTCT